CCGGGGGGGGGGGGTCATCCCTAGCTCAGCACGTCACAATATTATTCTTAGTAGGGTGAGACTGAGTCCACTTGGCACTGCAGCCACTACTGGCCTATTATACCAGCCCCAGATGATAGATGAAGGTGAGTGTGGAGCAATTGGTGGAATTGAGAGTGGCAGGGGAAACCGAAGTACTCAGAGAAAACCTGCTCCAGCACCATTTTATCCATCACATATCCCACATGACCAGACCCAGGTTCAAATCTGAGCTGCTACAGTGGGAAGCCAACAACTAACCATCTGAGCTGTGATGCAGTCAATTTCTTGAATAGCTGAGCAGCTGTTGCCTTGTCATGAAGGAATTGCTCATTAGAATTTGTTGGTTACTATTGAGTGTGGCTGATTATCAGAGAAGTTTTCAGACTTGTAGACAGGATTATCATCTGCTGTTGAGGAAGAAGTTAGGATTGTTATTATTATGTTTGTGACTTTATGTCAGATATACTTGTTGACATAATTGAAACTAAATAACGAATCACCATTCTATCATTGGTATAGTACATTAAAAGTGTTCTGTGTACAGTTCTCTCATACCATGAACATCTGTGACATACTGTGCTATGTATATATAGTATGATATGCATAATTCCATGTTTTCTGTCTGATCATGTCACCGAAAAGGAACGATGGAACGATGTGGAAGTGACATTTACCACTTATTTCATACATAAGCAGTACTTGTGAAACATTAAAACTTACTACTCCTCTCACATACAGTGGAACCTCTATTTGATGTTACATAATTTAAGGTTTTCATATGTTTTAACGTTCACTTTCAGCTACCTGAAGTAAATAATCTGAGTGTTAAATTTCCTTCATTTAAGATTCATCTCAGTTTAGTGTTAAAATCCAACTGCTTCACAAAGACACTTTTTGGGGGGTTTCACCATATGTAGGGCATGGGAGTGTCTAGCTTGTGTAAGTTTCTGTGTTATCAGAAATAGTCTCATAACAAAATTTATTATCAGCCACTGAATAAGATAAGGCTGCATTTGATAACATACAGAAAGGGACAAATGAAGGATATCGATTTAAGTGTTGTGAGGTCTTACATTGTCTAGAATTATTAATTCTGTGCAATAACTTATGCAGTAGTAGATATGAATATTGTTTTCTATGCTGTACAGTTCTTGCACAGTCACCAGTAATTTATACAAGAGTACAGATGGACTCAGTTATATTTAGAATGTTTTTAGTGCAGAATATTTTAGATGAAAGCATTGGGAAAGTTAATGAGAATTGTGTACACTAACTTATGACAAAAAGTAGGGGTGATTTTTATTTTGTATGGTATAGGATTGGTGCACAGTGATCCATAATGACCCTCATTCTCTCACACTGAATGCATAAATATGTTCTTAGCCAATACTATGCAGAAAGAAATTATGCTATACATTGCATATTTATGTCTTGATTATGTATAATGAATATCTGTTCGTTTTTACTATAATATGGAAAGAAATATTGGCATAGTATGTGCACCAGTTATTTATTATGGTGGTTGTGCCTATGAAACTATAATTGAATTTTTGGAGGACATAATAGATCTAACTTGTTGCAGGACTGATGCGCAGTAAGTTCACATTTTTATCCATATACAAGGAAACACCCATTTAATTTTCCTTGATTTAAAAGTTTTCATTTGTTTAATGTTCAATTTTAATAATCCATAATCAGTAATCCCTTTTACAGTTTTTCATTTAAGACACTCCTCAGTTTAACGTTTGAATCCACTACCACCCAAAGAAAAATTAAATGGGAGTTTCACTGTAATGAAACAATATCATTTAATAGAGAATATCAAAATAATATAACTTAGGTTGAAGGTGTTTGAGAACATGGTTCTGAAAAAAGTACTTCAATTGAAGAGGGAGTTCATCATGGTGCATGTATCACAATGTATATATATGTATGTTCAGATCTGAAAATATTTTCTCACTGGTGAATGAATTATTTTTAAAGGTTAATTTTGAGTTTAAAGTAAAGTCCTGTAGGTTAATCTGAAAGATATGTTTTGTATTATGTGTAATTAAGAAAATACATAAAAATTTTACCTCTGTGCATTGCATTAATTCTTTGTAACTCATTTCATCAACCATATATCTAAGTTCAGAATAAATGAAGCTGTGGGCTAATGAGCTGTGTAAAATTACAGAGAACATGTTAGAAAATATGTGTACCCCAAATTTCCACCCTTGATTATGATTTTCTACATGTCTGTCTGTATGTTGTTGAAAATACAAAAATACATTCTGATTGTTATTTTTATTTCATTATGGTTTATTTAATAATGCTGTCAGCTCTGACTATATGACATTGAGTTGTAGGAAGATTTTTGTATTGGAAAGCAAGTGGAAGGAAGTGAGAATGGTCTAATTTTAGTTACTGTCCCAGCATTTACATGGAGGGACTCAGGAATCCTGGTCTTTGAGCCAACATTTGGACATGGAATCTTTTGAACATAAAACAGAAATGCTGTTCACTCAACCACAATGTTTGATTTTCTGCAGTTTTGTATCTTCTTCCCCCCCCCCTTTTTTTTTTGGAAAGCAAGTTGGGAGAAAGTGAAAATGGTCTGCTTTCAGGTACTGTCCCAGAATTTACATGGAGGGAGTGAGGAATCCCTGGTCTTTGAACTAACATTTGGACCTGGAATCTTTTGAATATAAAACAGGAATTCTGTTCACTCAGCCACAATGTTTGGTTTTCTGCAGTTTTGTATCTTCTTCCCCCCCCCACAAAAAAATGAGTTTCTGCAGTTTTGTATCTTCCCCCCCCCCAAAAAAAATTTGAATTTCGTGCAGTTTTATATCTTCTCTCCCCCCCTCAAATTATGTAATAATAACGAATGTGGTGATCTTGTTGTTTCAGTGCATCTAGTGATGATGCGTTACTCAGTCCAACAAACACTGGTAATCCTAAGTGTGCAGGCAGTGGCGGCACTGATGATAAGAATGACACCGAGCCAAGCGATGGCAATACTACAGAACAACATGAGGTAGGATAATCATTTTTGTGCTACAAGTAATTTCCAATTTAAAAAGGTTACTGTCTTCTGGGTTGTGATGCAGTGTAGTTTGGTAGGTAGGTACTACTGAATCAAAGTTAATCATTCAGAATTTTATTTTGGTCTGTTCTAGTCCAGTATATATTCTCTTTTCCATGGAGCTCAAATGAAAGATATGTCATTATTCATAATACCTTAATATGCAGCGTGAATTGTATAGCTTGTTAAGATGCTAACTTATATTTGAGACTTTTCAATATATCATATTTATTTTGCAGGTTGTCAGGGAAACCTTACTTATGTCTCCATTTAGTGTAATATTATTACAGATTAAGTACAATTCACTGTTGTATTTAGTGTTGTAAATAATGTCAGTCTGCTCTGCGAACCAGGGTACTTCATACATTGTGTAGGCAACCTCACAGAAGATATGCCCAGTGCAAGTGTGTCTGAATGTCCTATTAGCATATGAATACCGGAAATAAGTTTGTGACTTTCTAATGATAACATAACAGCTTAGATCACTAACTGAAGATGACACACCCTTGTTCCTAGACTGGATCAGTATACTACAATTTTATTTGTTGTTTTATGTGAAACTTCATCACCTTCATTCAAGGAATGCTATAGATTGAGAATATTTGAGAACAGAGTGCTGAAGAGATTATTTGGACCTGACAGAGAGAGAAAAAGAGAGGAAGTGACAAGAGACTGGAGAAAATTGCATAATGATGGACTTCAGAATTTGAAAAAAAATTGATGATAAAATCATGTATGATGAGATGAATGAAGTGCATAGCATGCATAGAAGATGTGATAAGTGAACACAAAATTTTTGTTGGAGAGCTTGGTCATCTGGAAGATCGAGGCATAAAGTGGAGGATAATATTACGGTATAACAGAGAAATAATAGTGTAGGATGTGGACTGGGCTCATATGGTTTTTGGGTGAGACATTCAAATGTAGTATTAAATAATATATCTGTTGGTTCTGTGGAAGAGAAATTGTAAAGCAGCTGAGCAACTTCAAAAGAAGACCCTGCTCCATAGAGTTAATGTAGCATCTGTACTATTGTCTATCTCTGTCAACAGTACACTTCTATCCGCTGTGTGTGAACAGTGAGGCTAGTGAGAGAGGCATGAATGTTCCCTCCATGTTGGAGTCTGTCTCTTCACTCTTCTTCCAGTCTTTTTTGGCTTTAGTTTTCTCTCAATAAGGATATTCCTACATCCACTACATGAAGATGTATGGGGTAGGAGAGGTGTAGATCCATGTGTTCTTGATGTCAGCAATAGATTCAGGTGGGTTTTCAGCTTAAGGCCTCACCATGTGTATCCTTGGGGGAAGGAGACCCCACCTAGAGGTAGTCCATATGCTGTGCCAGTTCAAGGAAAGAAATGCTGTGGTTGTGCAGCTCTTAGCATAGTCAGTCTGATGACTGAGCCATCCTGGCTTCTTTCTCTCTTAGTACAGTCTATTTCATAGATGGGGAGATATGAGAGAGACAGAATAGTGCCTGGCATCAGACTCCTTAGGGAACATTAATATCACCTGACTCATTGGCTAAAGATGCATATGACATCATATTTCTTTTGTACTAGTGGAATAGACACTTAAAATAGTTGTTTGCTGAAATGGTTTCTGAGCGTGGTCACCTGCATAGCTTAACCTGATGTGTTGCCACCATATTCTTGTAATCGCATATTTCTTTGCATCTCTTAGATCTATTTGAACACAAGTGACACATGCTGGTTATTGGTTGAAGCGGATTACTGTGTTTTGTACAGTTGTATATGTATGTCTTATTTTTTGAACATGGTTACTCGTTCTGAGCCAGAACATAAATTAAAATTCCATGTAGAAATGTTATAGCCCAGTACTTGCTTTTCTGTCAACCTGTATGTTAGCAGAGTTGGTAATAGTTCTAAAGTAGAGTAGAAGATGGCAGCAGTAAACAGTAGTGGAAGGTATACTTAAGCTGATAATGCAGTGTCCACTGATGTTGGGAAAAGTTCATAGAATGCTTAGGTGCATAGGTGGTAGCACTGCCAGTGCATGTTTAATGAGATTGTTTCAGAGTATTTCTTAAGGGCTCTAATATAGGCATCTGCAGGAATTACTTCATCAGTTTGAGATAAGAATTTGGAAAAAGTTTTTAGAATCAAGATGAGAATTGAGTTTCTTTCACAGTGCGATAAATTGCTCTTGATACCAGATCTTTTTTCAAAGAAAAATGTTTAAATATCATTGTGATTAAAAGAGTCGATTCTAAGGTCATATCCTTTTTCACCATGGACTGAAAGAGAGGGAGAGAGAAAGATTTTGTTCACAAGTTGATCAATGGCTGAGTTGTGAATCATTACGATCCTGATCCACCAGACAGATTTTCTGCTGCTATGGACAGCAAAAGTAGCCTTCAGGAAACTGCAAAGTTTAGGGCTGAAAAATCAACATTTGAATCAAATTTGAGACATTATTTTCCCCAGTTCAATCTTGAAAATGTAAGGCCTGCCTATGCCTGCTATAGTCTGTGATATTTGTTTGAGAATGATACTGTACTACAAATCAAAAGGTCATGGGTTCAGTTCCCAATGAGATCATTTGAGTCTTTCAATGTACCTAATCCTTCTAGCTTCCCTGTAGCCCTGGGGTCGACTCAGCCTATAACAGAAATGAGTACCATATATTTTCCTGGGGGGTATAGGGTAGCTGGTGCATAAGCCTGACAACCTCACCACCATCTGTGAGCCAAGTGTTTGGAAGATGTGGGAGCCTCGACATCTCACAACCCTATGGGCATTCAGTTAACAGGGATAGCTGTACCTTTATATATATATATATATAAGTACAGCATGACCAAGTACTCTGTTAATAACAAGCAATTTTGCATTGAAATTTCAGTGGTTATGCTGGTATGAGTACAGGTTGGCCCAAAGTAAGTTAACTGGTTAGTAAAGTGTACACTGAAGTGCACTGGAAATTTCTTTATTACCTATTGAATTTACAAAATTTGTTCAAAACAAGATCCTTCATAGACTTGAAAGGATTCTGACGATGGTGTATACTGTACTTCTTTTGGACTTCACCCATTGTCTGGTATGTAAAAGACAAAAGACCACGTCTTCAGGTGGATAGGGAAGGATAAACCTACTCAGTTGGGCCCCATTAGAAAGAGCTAGTCTCAATCACTGGACAAACCCGGTCTGTAGAAAAACAGCCTATGAACAACCGACAACCGGTTCCATCAGTGTGAGAAAAGTATAAAATCACAGTAAAAACATGATAAAAAATTTGTGCCAAGCATGCACTTGTCAACAATATAAAGAAACAGAAATATAGGTTAAATTCCATGAATTCAGTTAAAAACGAAAGTAAAAACTGGATAATGCATGCCTAATCTGCGTGGATAAAGAATCATGCCACTATGGTGACTTCCGGGAATCAGACTAATGTCTTTTACATACCAGACGATGGGTGAAGTCCAAAATAAGTACAGAGATCCTTCATGTTTGATGCGTAACTCATAATGCTCTGGTACTGTTCTATAGATTCACCAGCAGGTTTAAATCTGAACATTCCAATTAATACAAGAGAATATTTTCAGTTGACTGACTTGTGGGCCACTCTGTAGATAGATGTATACTTCGGCAGTGCATTCACCATAACGGAATGAATAAGGTTTTCAAGATGTGTGACTAGAATCCAAATCTGAAGACAGTAATGTTATTCTGCTCTTTGTAATGTTTTTTTATGTTACGGTCTGGTTCCATGCCAAACAAACATGCCAGCTGCCTTACCCCCTGGAGTTAAATAATAAATTCAACAAATAATTTGCAAACAAAAATATTTCTCGCTTAAAGCTTTTAGGTTATGAAGAATTATGATCGTTTTGGACAGTCTTTTCTCATCCAGTTAGAATAAAATTTGGGTCAGTCTCTTCTCATTTAATACCTGAAGGCAAAATCTGGGGCAGTCTTTTCTCATTTATTATCTGAAAACAAAATTTGGTAATATTATTTGAAGTCTGTAAACAGTAAAAATGTGTAGTGATATTAATCTAAATATTGCGGTATTAAAATATCACTAATGTAACATGATGAACATTGATTTTATTAAATAAATAATATAGTGGCTATAATTAATATGCATATTTTCAGTTAGGAAATACAGTGGCTGGGCATGTGTGTAGGATGGGGAATTTTGGTAAGAAAGATATTCATTTGTGAAGCTGAGGAGATGGACAGATAATATTAAAATGGATCTTGGAAGGTAGGTTGTAAGAATGTGATGAGGAAGCCTATTTATTTGTAAGACTGGGGAGATTTTTGAAAAATAGGGTTTAATTGCGGAAAGTGGGTGGAACTGACTGGGTATAGCATCCAGTAGTAGGCTTTTTTATTGGTAGTTTTGAACATTCCTGTTCTGCTACCACAGTGTTGATGTAAATATAAGTAATCTGAGGTTGTTATGCCAGTGGTCTCATAGATGGTTACCAGTGTTTTGGAGTAACCTTTTGCCATGCTGTTCTAACCCAAAGTAAATAGGGCGCGCTATAGCTCAAGTGGTTAGTCACTGGCTTCCCACCGTGGCGGCCTGGGTTCGATCCCGGGTCTGGTCAAGTGGGATTTGTGGTGGACAAAGTAGCGCTGGGGCAGTTTTTCTCAGAGTACTCCAGTTTCCCTGCCAATCTTCATTCCACCAATTGCTCCACAATAACCCTCACCTATCATCTGGAGCCGGTACAATAGGCCAGTAGTGGCCGCAGTACAATTAAATTAAAAATTAGCAATTAAAAAAACCCGAAGTAACAATTTTAATCTATGTAAGCAACCAGAACAGGACGAGCATAATCACTGAAGTTTTGCAGATAATTATCTGTAATTATATGTAAGTGTAACACACAGCTTAAGACAAAATAATTATAATTATTTTGTCTTAAGCTGTGTGTTACACTTACATTCCATAAAAAAAAATAAAATTTAGATTTATAT